TCTCTGTCGTTGTCTCTCTTTATCAATCTCTCTCTCTCTCTCTCTGTGTCTCTGCCCCTTTCTTCCAATATCATTTCTCTGTGTAAGTCTCTCTCTATCTATCTCTCCCTGTCCCTGTCCCCCTCTCTCTGTGTCTCTCTTTCTCTCTCTCTTTCTTTGTCTCTTTCTTTCAGTCTCACTATCTCTCTCTTTCTCTGTCTCACTTCGTCTCTCCCTATCGCTCTTTCTCTTTGTCTCTCTTGCCCTATCAATCTCTCTCTTTCTCTCTCTCTCTCGCTAGCTCTCTGCCTCTCTCCCTCTTTCTCTCTCTTTCCCTCCCTCCCTCGCTCTTTCCCTCCCTTTCCCTGTCTCTCTCACTCTCTATATATCATCCATGTCGTTCTCTCTATCCCTCCCTGCCTGTCTCTGTCTCTCTCTCTCTGTCGCTCTCTATCCCTCCCTGTCTCTCTCCCTATCTCTCTCTCTATCGCTTTCTGTCTCTCTTTCTCTCTATCTCTCCCTCTTTCTCTCTCTCGTTCCACTCTCTCTTTCTCCCTCTCTCGTTGTCTCTGTCTCAGTCTCTCTCTATCTATCCCTCCCTGTCTCTCTGTCTCTCCCTGTCTCCTTCTGCCTCTCTCTCTTTCTCTCCCTGTCTCTCTCTGTCTCCCCCCTCTCCCTCCCAATCTCTCTCCTTCTGCCCCACCCTCTCTCTCTCCCTCCCTCCCTCTGTGTGTCTCTCTCTCTATCCTTCCCTGTGTGTCTCTGCGTCTCCCTCTCCCTCACTCTTTCTCTCTCTCTGTATATATGTCTCTCTCTCTATCTCTGTGTCTATCTTTTTTCCTTCTCTGTACCTCTCTCTTGCTCTGCCTCTTTCTCTCTGCCTCTCTCTCTGCCTCTCTCTCTCTTTTTCTATCTCTCCCTTTCTTTCTCTCTCACTCTGTGTGCCTCTGTCTCTCTATCCATCCATGTCCTTCTCTCTATCCCTCTGTGTCTCTCTCCATGTCTCTCTCGCCCTCTCAATCTCTTTTTTTCTGTATCTCTCCCTGTCTCTCTCTCCTCGTCTCAGTCACTGTCTCTCTTTATCGACATCTCTCTGTCTCTCTCTCTCTCTCTCTCTCACTCTATCTCTCTCTCTCTATCTCTCTCTGTATATATCTCTCTCTATCTCTGTGAATCTTTTCTCCCTCTCTGTGTGTATCTCTTTCTCTCTATATATATCTCTTTGATTCTCTATCTGTATCTGTCTCTCTCAATCGCTCTCTCTCTCACTCTTTCTCTCTTATTCTCTCTCTCCCTCTTTCTCTCTCATTCTCTCTCTCCCTCTCCCTGTGTCTCACTCACTATCTCTATCTCTGTCTCTCTCTCTCTCTGTCCCTGTCTCTCTCACTCTCTCTGTCTGTCTTCATGTCTCTCTCACCCTCTTTCTCTCTCTCTCTCTCTTTTTGTCTCTCTCTTTCTCTCTCACTCTCTCCCTTTTTCCCTCTATCCTTGTCTCTGTCTCAGTCTCTCTCTCGGTCTGTCTTTCTCTCCCTGTCACCCCCTCTCTCTGTCGCCATCTGTCTCTCTCTGTCTCCCTTTGTTCCACTATCCTTGCTATCTCTCTCTCTCACTCTCTCTCTGTCGCTTCCTCCCCCCCACTCTCTCTCTCTGTCCTGTCACAGTCTCATTCTCTCTCTCTCTCTCAACTTCCCTCTCTCTGTCCCTCTCTCTGTCCCTCTCTCTGTCCCTCTCTCT